CTCTCTCCTCTCTCTCTCTCTCTCTCTCTCTCTCTCTCTCTCTCTCTCTCTCTCTCCTCTCCTTTTTCTCCTTTCCTCTCGACCTGCCTTTTACCGCACTTCTCTCGCCATAATTACCAAGCCACGGAGGTGGCTCGCAAAAGGTGGATATAAGAAATAGTATCGAATTCGCCAAACGGCGGGGTCGGTGATCGACCTACGAAATGAGTCCCAAAGAGGATCTTTTTTTATGAATATCAAAGATAGAATACAGTCAAGTTTAAAAAAAATTAAAAGTAAATAAAAAAGTAATAATGTATAATATTTAGAAAACTCAACTATATCCACGCCTGCGTAAACGGCTTATCATATCGATATTTGTGTAGAACATAATCGCTGAAATTTTAAAACAATCTTTTCGAGCAAGTGTATCTTCCAAGAATTATTCATTTTTCAGATAATTTGTATGTATCGAGCGATGAGACACATAATCGCTGAACATAGAAAAAAAAAAAATAAGTAGGAAAGCCCGAAGGAAAGTCACACTGGCAGGAATCTCTTGGCGTAATGCATATAGGCGCGACCTTTGCGAGACTTTTGCAAGGCGGTGGCCATAAAAAGGCATACAAAACGCATACAAGCGTGCGTGCATGCGCGACGTCGCATTGAGAGATGTTAAAGCCAGGCGACAAGCGGACGAGCGAGATTGAAATACCAATAACTCCATGAGATATGCAACGATATGCGACAGCCTTTAACGCGAATATGCACGCTCGCGCGAAACATGCGTTTCTAGCAGGAACCGAACACGTAATAATAACGTGCGGATAACGACGATTAACGAGGCGGGGCGAGGCGAGAGAGCGCGGCGGGTTTCTTGCAATACCGCGATGTTTACTTAAGTCGAGTTATCAAATCTCGCGATCACGATTTCTTAATATTATGCCGACACACCGAGATCAGGTTGATTTGCGCTGATGGCGCAAATCTAATCTATTAAGAATTATTTGTGTCAGAGCTTATTCCAGCACGCTACAGACACGTTATAGACTTAGATCTCTTTTCTATTTCTATAAGAAATATTTTTCTTATTCCGCGAAAATACAGGGGATTTCTTGATCCTGTATTGTCATACTAGCTCCACATTGACTCTGCTAGCACTTTACAAATACATAAAACTTTGAACTCCTTCGAGAGAGTTTCTCGTAGTAGCAAGATACTAAACGTTTCAATTTCCTCTCACGTTTATGAAAATTATTTATTCTCTTCCTTTTTTTTTTCTCCACGATTCCGATTCCAGCTTGATTCCGTTAGTAGAAACTCGATTTGTAAGTGCGACTTTGTAAAATCTAATAAAACTTTTGTAATCGTTTCACACGGTCGCTTAATATAGTTTCTGCGGAAAGAAGCTCAAGCGCTCATTAGCATTCAGGTCAAAGACCAAGTGCAGCATTTGTACACAAAACTGTCGGCTACTCGGACTTCATTTTAGACTTTGTCAGATTAAGGCCAAAATATTGCATAACGGTGGAGTGAGGTGTCTAATGCAGAGCAGAAGTCCGTGAGATGACTCAGAGTCAAAGAATGTATATATATGACTAATAATTTTCGCGAAATTACGCTCGGGTCTAGCAATTATCTTATTCGCTGAAAAAAATTCCCGTGAAATAAAAAGAAGCGATCTCTTTAAGAACAATTTTAAAAGTTAGTCTCCGAATAATATAAAATTTATTATAATTTTTAAAGGAACATTCAAACACGCTATATATTATTTTTACATATTTAGATAACGTGCATAAGACAGTTTTATAAGTAGAGTATAATTTTTTCTATTAATTGAATTATAAATCAACTCGAAATATTACAAAGTATTCTTAAAGAAATTGTTTAAACGAGGCAGATTAGTTACAATCGTATGTATTTTCCGCGAAACTCGATTTCGAGACGTCGAGCTATTATTTCCAGCAGCGATTTCGATTTCGATCAACAGCAAAGGGAAAGTGGAGAAATTAGACGTAAATTCTATCGAGCGTGCCCTCGGCGTGTCCCTCGAAACGCCAACATAAAATTCGTGTTTTATATTGTGTCCACACAATTTTTTTCTTTTGAGCAAAGGAAAGCTTAACGAGAGGAGATAAAAAGTCTGTGATGCATTAAATCACGATGGCCAACACTTTCCTGCGAGATTACATTTTCTAATCGACGAAATTAGAATAGACGGTGACGCGCGCGAAGTGATGATGGCACGTGTTGCTAAGTATCGCTTTGTTCTTTAATATAGGAAATTGAAGTGAAGAGCCTAGCTTCGTACCTATTTACGATTCAAATGAGCTCGTCTGAAAGCGTTACGTTATTTAAATCTATGCAACGTCCTACAAACTTGAATGACTCGCGAGTATTATTTGCCGAAAGAAAACAGATACGTACACAATGGGGCATTTAAAGAGCCATTACGCTGAGATTTGTTATCGTAGGATAGCGCCAAAATTACTTTTGATATTCCCACGAGGAGAGCATAGCTCGTACATACATATACAGTTATATTATCTTACATATCAGACGATAACGGTGAAGAAAGAACGTGATTTTCCATTTCTCGGGCTCGTTAAAGTATTTAGTTTCGTTAACGTCGCGAGTTGAATATCCCTAAGCGTTTCCATTTTGTTTCGTTTATTTATTAACTTCTTCTTTCGTGCGTTGAATCAAGGCATTAGAAATCAAGATAAAGCAGTCGCGATAAACAAAAAAATGGAAATGCATTAAATTTCCGTCCAAGTTACGATAAATCCTTGATTATTCGAGACCGGATTAGGGAAAACGAGGTAACGAGCTTGAGGCAATCGCCCTGCACGCGATGCTACGCGTGCCGCGGAAGATCGAAGAGATCGTGATATATTATTCATGAATTTTTTAATATTTGATATTGTTAACTGTATAATGATATGGAATTAATCGCAGATAATCCTGTGCGTGCAAACTGAAAATGCAGGCAGAAAGAGTTAGAAGTATATTAAGTAACGGAAGAAAAAAACACTGTCACTCACCAAGGTGGATAGACGCCCCGCGGCGATGCGCCTCCCGCCCTGATTTGCTCGTTAACGTAGCCACTTCTGGGCACGTTAAGAGCGCTCCTGATGCCCACGCTGGACCCATCCAGAGTCCCAGGCCCGGGCTTGGGCACGTGACTGCTGCAGTACACCTCCTTATCGTTGATCGTGTGCTGATTGTTGTAGTAGGTCTTCAGGGTGAGCTTGGTACCGCAGATCGCGCACTTGAAGCAGCCCGCGTGGAAAAACGTGAAGTCCTTCAAGGGACCCACCCTGTCGACCTGGTAGACGGTCTGGGCGCATCTCAGACACGTGCTCTCGTAGAAGTTCGGCCGATACATGATAGCCGCCTTGAAGGGGACCACCTTGCCGAATCCCCGGTATTCTCTTCCCGCACGCGAAGTGCTCCAACTCCTCGTCCTGATCACCGCTCGCTGCAGTCTCGTACGGCGCAATGTTTCGCTCTCGATGCGTGCGACCTTGGAAATTAAAGGCCTCGATCAGGGAATAGAGAAATTACCTCTCACCGCCGGGATAAATACAAGGCGACGCCGGCGAGACGAATAACTGGATATTACAGGCTGTTTAGAGATCGGCGCATGACTCGCGCGTAGCATAACCGTCCATTTCTAATTTCTCTTTGATTTTTCTTCGAAAGAAAGTGTCGCAAGTTTATTCCTAATCCCTAATCATGAAATTTGATAAATAATTTGGATAAATAAAACATAATTCCTAACCGACAAATTTATCATATTACTGAGCTCTGATATGATTAAAGAAGAAATTGTTACATAAAAAAATTATTTTTATCAAACAGATGATAAAAATAAAACAGTAGAATTTTTATTTAGCATTTGTACGGAAATGATAGGTATATACTGAAAATTTATGAAGATACATTTAGTTTTACGTTTTTCTATACTATCTATATTTTGCATTTCTTATTCTTTCATGCAGCTTAGAAATATTTAAGTGAAGTCGTTGGTATGTCGTTTAATAATCACTTTTCGGATATACCGGATATGAATGCGCGAGATGCCGAAGGTGGGAATCAAACGCACGTGAAGGAGTTATATGCAATAATTAGTTTGCAACTGTTAATTACGCCGGCGGACGAATTACTTCTCAGCGTTCGTAACACGCGAGAACGTTAGTTTGTTTTACGCTCTAATTCGACAATGCAACGAGTTTTCTTCCCGGCGAGCCCGAATTGCGCACCGTTATCGCGTGCGTAGCTCGGCTTTATCATGGAATTTATAATTCTATCGGCGCATCCCTCGCGCATCGACAACGCGTTGCCAACCACGTCCTTGATTTGCTCTACGCACGAGGGTTTTGAAAGATAACGTTCGATCTGAGAGAACGGTGGTACGCGGAGCGAGCCCGCCTAAACCGCCGACACTTTCCTGCGAAATTTTGCAACGAGTCATTGCCAATACCTCACCGAAGTGGGCGACTAAAGAGGCAATTGCAACACGTTTAACGACCGCGATATGCCTACGGTAACATCGACGGGATTTTCCCACGTATCGTTCGCATCTGCGAGCATTTAATAGAATTTTTACTGCGAGCTACGCACACAATAACCAATGGATATATCCATGGATCGGCTAATGTATCATCTCGGCGCTGTTTCTTTTCCCATATCTCAGCCGGGTGATTATATATTATCAAGCTCGCGAACACATTACAAAAATGCAAAGCCATAAGTGCAACGTGATAAATAAGAGCTGAATGCTGCTAAGAATATCGCATTCCCGAGAGTCAGGTCAGTTTTCTATTTTGAAAAGAAATAATTTGTTGTTGATACATAAATCGGTTTCTTTTCCAATTTATTTGCTCTAAAACAGGTTCCCAGTTGTCAATACGAAAACCAAGCTATGAAAAAACAGTACGGCCACCTAAATTGGCTGAACGCACTACTTCTTGCACCTATCTGACCGCAATGCTTTCTAAATTCTTATAATACCGCCGCCATTATGGCTACCAGCAATCAAATAAGCATCATTTAGATTTGAGATTTTACAAGCGCTAAATTATTTTTCGACTTTCCCTCGTTAACAAGAAGCAGTTTTTGAGTAAATTTTTAAATGACTCATGATAAAATGAAACTTAATTCCACCTACTTCCTTTTTTAACAGAAAATAAATGGATTTACGTAGATCGTAAGATAGAATACTAGAATAAATAAATATAATTAAATCATATACTTTATAAAATTTAAAGATCTGCGATAATGTGAAATAAAATTTCTATTTTTAAAAAATTAAATATAAGGATTTATTAATCGGCAATTAGAAATTGCAGTCGACAACACGTTTGCAAAAACGTTCGCAGCAAATTCTTCGACGGACGGTTAGAACAATAGCACTTGCGACATGTTATTAGCAACGCATTTATGAAACGTGACACGTGCCTAATCTTCGGTTCTCCTTCTCTCTCACGAAACAACGAATCAGGTTTTTCACAGCCATAATTGCCGGAGGTCGTTGCTCCCGTTTTTTTTACTTTCGCGGTTGTGACTTCTAACGAAGTCTCCGCCAGGAGACTTAAATCGGTGCGTGCGGCAAGACAGCCGTCTCCCGGTAAATGACATACCAATGGAACGTATCGGAAAGTTCTCTCTTCCGAAGAGCGAGCACACAAGGTGCACGCCGCCATATCGGGAGAAAGCATTTTGTACGTACGTCTCCATGCGTGTCGCGGCCCTCGCATCGCGAGAGTATGAGCTAATTCTTTGTAAATGAGGCCACAGTGTGTACGACCTGCTCTCGCCGCTGCGGGATAGTTCGTTGACTCTCGACAATATCCAAAGGTGCACCAGAGAACCGTCGCATAAAATTTGTTCGCCAGTATTATCGCGCCAGTCCTATTTTAAACACGCGAGAACGTTGCGAGAGGAAGCGGATATTTTCCGATGGAAGATCGCCATCGCCATCGCGTGAAAAATGAGAAATGCGTAAAACAAATATAGATCTATCAAAATCTATATAAATCTAAATATATAAATTCCATATTTGGAATAAAAGCGAGTTAGCGTATATATTTCTATATATTTATTTTGTCTTTTGCAATTTATATTGGTATATCTTGCTATTTTTGAGTTGATCGAAAATTTCTAATTTCGTCAGATACCTCATTACCGTGTATGCGAACTACATTCGCTCCAGCTCGATGAGCTGATGTTTATGCCTGCTACTAGAGCGTTATATATAATCCTAGTCTATGTCGGTAATTGCCGACGATGGAACTAATAATACGTAATATTGCTTATGACGTAACTGTGCCCGATAGCGTTAACGTCTTTGCATCGAGTTACCAGCGATACCTACACCGTCGCCGTGCACAGGTGTAAGTTCTGTTATCCGCTGATAGAATATGATAAATCGCCCCGTCGCGATCCCCCGCCCGTCCGCGCAATTTTTGATACGTCACCGCGCAACAGATACATTTCAATCGGACGATAATTTCCGTAATGGAATGCGATTCGATTAATGTCCGATATCTCTGCTCGGGCGAACGCGTTCGTTTCTGTAACGGAAATCCTTAGCGCGTCTCATTAAACCGCACGTTTTACCTTACCCGCACTCGGTGCGCGGCAGCGCGAAGCGCGGAAATCGTAAAATTCCCATAAATTTCGCCGTCGCGAGCGACTTTTGCAGGCGCGGGCTCGGGTGATGGCTCTTCAGAGTCGCGAATTGACCGTGCATGAATATTCCAAAGTGAAATCCGAAATGAATGGTTGTTAGTGGGAGCGTCCTTATCTTCGAAGAATTGACAAGGTATTTTCGAACAAGGTCGTGCCTCGACTACTCCGGGGAGAGTCTCAAGATGAAATCCACGTTCCATTTACTTTAGATCCGTCCCTGCGATCGACGACGGCAGTCGCCGTGCTTTGCGTACATACACATCGAGAACAGCGACTCTCCGAGGAATGCGACCGAGGCGGTACGATTATGGCGAATTGCATAACTCTGGAGCGAGGAACGAACCGCCGACCGATGACGATGCCGATGGTCGCGTAATGGCGCGTTGCTCCTTTATAAATCGCGCACTCGGTCTTCCGGCGATCCGTCGAGAGAGCGACGCGTCATTTATCGCGGCGCTCGTTACAAAAAGCCCGATGGCGTAATCGCACCTACACGTAGCCGCGCAATCGTGATTCGTGAGGCTCCCTCGTTGCCGATAAAATCCGCCTCGGTACGACGATGGCCGGAGATTTCGAGGGAGCCGGCGACGGGACGAGGAGAGCCGTTCGGAAAAGTAAGGAAGAAAGCGAGACGCTCGTCGGGACGTCTCGTGCAACGTAAAAATTATTTATGACATTCCACGCGTCGTTTATCGCGCGATAATGCCCATTCGAATGAAACCCGTGTCCCCATTTTGGCCCACCTTTTTCTAGGTATTTATGCGCACCGCACGCACCGCCGTGCCACGCATGCTGCGAGGCACGAGAAACTTTATTATGAGGTAAATCTCAGGGAATGCGGCCGCGACTCTCGATTCGGATATGCGCGCGGAACGTTGTTTTGCGAGAACAACAAAGTAACGGGAAGTATGAATGAAGGAAGAAATATCGCATGGTGCAGCACTTAACTTTCTTTAGCTTTTGGATTTATGTTTAATTTTTATAATACAGAAAATTTTATATAATGCAGAGAGGATTGTCGGAACATAAAGTTTTTATCATACCTCTAAATTTATGTATGAATTTATTACGAAAGAATAAAAGTGCCGTAAAAGAAGACTAAAAATGACATTGGAAATCATATCATTCCAAATAACGTTAAATTAAAATAAAAAAAATACATTGATCGACATTTTTCATGCTTAGAATATTAAATATTGGGTTTTTAATATTTATTAATTTTATCAATTTATTTACGCTAATAACTTGGCAATTAAACTGCGTAAAATTTGATCGATGATCAACTTAATTTCTTTTTCAGTTATGCGTATGGAATGTAATATAAAGGTTTAAATCTTTTGATTTCTCGTTGGAAACTTTATTCGCAAAACATTCGCGAAACTTGATATGACAGCGATACTCTTTGGAGTACTTTAAACTCGTAATGCGAATAAACGTCACGATATGCCCACTGACGTATCCATGCACGTGTCCCAATTTTGGTCCCGCGAGCCAACAGGTTTCACACGAGCCGTTGAAGCTGAAGGCTTAAATAACCATTAAAATATTTAATCGACACTGTCTAGCGAAATTCTGAATTATCTAAGAAAAATCTGCTGATTTGCTCGACTTCTTTATCTCGTGAAATCGATCAAATATCAATGAAAATTAAATAAGACAAGAATACCGCTACGAGAAGTTCCAGAATTGATATACCACCGTATCAAGAGACAAACAAGTACAAATCAGAGATTATTCAGCCAACCATGAATCCTCCTTACACCTCTTTACACTCGTATAAATTTTTGCTCTACGCGGTAATCAACGAAAGTCGCAGAACCGCGAAACGGCGATCTCGTTCCGATAAATGGAGCGACTCTTGCCTCTCCAAAAATGCGAATAACATCGATTTATCCTTATACCCGAGCGATACGTACGTCCTCATAATCCTCGTCTCAGCGTCGTCCGCGAGCAGTCTCGATGACTTCCGTGACTGCCAGGCATGTCTCTTTCTCTCTCGCTCCTCGTCGCCTCCTCGGTATCGCCCTGGGTATCGCGACTACCTCTTCAACTAGATGGAAGATCGCAGGTAACGACGAATCTCGAGCACTACGTAAACGACCGCGCGCCTGGTATCCTCGCGGTCCTCCTCGATTATTTCCGATTATTTCTGTACCGCGCATCGAAATCACCGAGCGAGCGCTTCGCACCGTTCCGCGAGCTCCGCGCGCGCGCGCGCGCGCTCGACGCGGACGAGGAGGAACACGAGGGAGGAAACGGCGGAGAGGAACGAGTCGAGCCCACCTGTTCACCAACGCCGATCGCCGATGATACTGATCGCTGCTCGACGAACGGAACGGACTCGCGAGCTGATCCCGGGATCCCGACGGACTCGCCTCCCGGATACGTCGCGTACTCCTCCTCGAGTACTACTCTCACGCGGTTACACGCACGGCGGCCACTTTCCGACCTTCCAGCGCGGCGCGTACGAATATCTTGGTGACACGGTTTCGGCTGTTCGCCACCTGGAATGAGGTCTCGGCACTATAAGCGAGACGGCCTCGCGAGTCAGATCGGACCTGATCGGATCTGAATATCGCCACCTGCCTCCGTCGGCGTTCCAGGAAGGTCTGAGGTGAGAGGAACGGCCATTTTGAGACATCGACGATGGATCGACTCAGGTGGCGCTATAGTTGGAGAACCGACCTGCCTGCGTCCTACCTGCGTTTTACCTGCGTAACGGTCACTCTCCCGTGCGCGCTCACCTGGCGAGGACCTGAGTCCGTCGCCTGTGATGGCGTATCGTGAAATTAAATCTGCAGAAAAAATTTTTTCTCTTTTTCTTTAAAAAGAAAAAAAGGGAGAGCAGAAATACATTTATCAAGGACTCAGGCGACTAGAACTCAACTCGAATTATTCTCAACTCGAAGAGTTTATTAATTTTATCAGTTTTCTGAAAGAACTCTCGGGAAGAATTAATGATTTATGAAATCACGATTTTAGATCATATTAATATTCAAAGCGATTGCGAGAAAAGATCTTCTGCTTACGGATAAAAATACACGCCTATGTAAAGTTCAAGGTTCAGACGTTCAAGATTCTACGCACAACTGATATTATATAAAATATTAAAATATCTCTATGATATAATACTTCTGAGATAATAACTGTATTATTTATTTGCTGTACGTTAGTTACCTCATAATTATGCCATGATTGCACATATAATGACTTAATGTAGTGACTTAGCACAATGATCCGACAGATGTTGCAACAAATATAGCTTATATAGCTATAAGGACCGGTTGCATTAGTGTATAGTTAATGAAGCTGCTAACAGAATTGAATAGAGCGAACTGTTGTATTGGCGCCTGCAACTTGTGGCTCATTTTAAAGGTCACCAGGTTTTGCATCGCCGTACGTTAAAAGCGTCTCTTGTGTCATTCGCTTCCTCGGAGTCACCATTTCTAGGCAGAAAGTACAAGATCGGCGCGCGTAAAAAATGCGTGTGCGCGCCCACACAATGCGTGAACGTCTCGCATACGTGGGAAGCGATTTGCTGAAAGGGAAGAGAACGAGGAGGAGATGCCGTGATGCAATAGAGGCAACGACAGATTATATATTATCCGACCGTTACCAGAAGTTTATACGCTCTGTTATACTCTATTTAGTTCTAACGTTTCAATACGCTGAGCTGGTTTCCTGTGTACCTGTCTCGTAAGAAAAGGATAATGAGCAACGGCGACACAAAGTAGCGGTGTCGATTGAGAATCACGTAGCTCGACAGAATTAATGGAATTGTACTTTCTTGTCGGAATAAGCAAATAATGCTTTCGCGTGATAGTCATCTCACGTTAAATGGAAATGTTCACAATGACAGCGTGCCAACAAATTTACCAAGTAAATTTGCGGATTGGACACCTACGACCAGTCAACTTCGACCAAGATGTCGAGATGGACATTCCGTTAATATATTCCTGCGCGATTTACATAATTGCAGATTTCTTGGTGTTATATGTCAATACGTCCTTTCTTCTTTCCTTCCTCAAAAATTCTTCCATCTCTAGAATAATAATTGTACTGTTAATTTTAAAAAGATTGCTTTTTAGAATTTTAATTTTAATTTTAATTGTATATAATTATATATAATTATCAAAAAGAGACAGGACCATAAATATTTAACATCGGATATTTATCATTTATTCAAAGAACTGAAGAAAGTAAGAACGTTACTGTTACTCTTATATAAAGCGAGACGAACGTAACTGTGTAATTTTCTTTTTCGTTCTCCTGTCAAAAATCTTTCAATTTTTAAATAATAATAATAATAATAATAATAATTTTATTATCTTAGAAATTAATCTTTAAACTTCCCCATGGTTTTAATTTTGATGATAGATAGTGGGAACCAAGAAACAATATAAACATCTAATCCAAATATCCTGTTTGAGAAACTTGAAGAAAAGAGCGGTCGTTGTTTTTACTCGGGACAAGGCGGAGTAAATAATGTAGTTTCTAAAGCGATGCCAGTTTCTAACATCTAAACTGTGGGTACATCGCGAGCAGCATCGCGATATATTTACGCGAACAGGGAGACCACGGGAGCAGGAACGGTGGCAGCGGTCCAGCAGACGCGGTGTTACGGAAATAGATTTCGGCGGCGATGCAACGGCCGCTCGCGGACGAGCAGCGCCGTCCAAGCCAACACCGAAGACGGGACCCAGTACCGTGTCGACTAGTTCCCGAGAAAAACCGGAAAAGTCCACCCCGGCGAGGTGATCCACATGAACGTGAGTGCCGATATCCGTCCCAACCCGTGTGCAACCCCCCAGTGCATCTTTCACCTTGAGAACTTTCGTTCCGGGCATTCCGCACCGCGCTCACGCCATTTATCCCTCCTTCTAAAATTAAGGAAAGAAAAAGGAGAGAAAAAGGCCGCTAGATTGGCCGATAAGAGCAATAAACAAATTAACGTGATTGCACACATTCCGCGATTAGGAGCTGTATAGCATTATATTACGGGCGATATTTTATTTTCAATAACAAATATTATTGGCCAAAATGTTGTTGGCCAATATGATGTAAAAGGAAAAACATTGCTGGCCAACTCTTTTCAAGATCCTAGTGCTTTGTCGTTGATGTTCACAAAGCAATCTGTGACGTGACAATAGATCGTCGTGAATTCGAATTGTCCAAATTGGAGCTCGGTGCATCGACTCGAACGGCGCGTGCACTTAACTTTGCTTGTGGATCAATGCAGCATCAATGAGTGCACATTTTTCGACTTAAAAAATGAGACTAATTAAATTATTCTATCTTGAGTATCACGCAAAGAAAGTCGTAGATGCGATTGCGCGTGTGCTGTAGAAAACAACATCATCTTTTTT